TATATATATGTTTTTGTTTTTACATCATTGTTCCTTTTTGTACAATATTTACTTTCTCCTCTCAGGTGTAGTCCCCCCCAAATTCCCACAACCAGTTCACCTGTGCATGCTCACCATGGTCCCTGTGGTCTACCTCGCCATCCCTCTCCCTTGCAGAATGTCTGTGATTTATACTTACCTGTTAATTTTGTTTGCTTATTTATTTTTCCTGTTCCTTATTTAGTTCCCTAAATTTAGTTTTGTCATCAAACAGTTGTAGTAAGAATTGTACTGCTGTTGGCTACAGAATGGAGGCTGACCTCCATTCCTCTGTTTGGGAGTGAAATCCTCTCTGCAGTGTGGCCAGCATTAATGGAGGCATGGATGAGAAACTCTGAGCATTTCCCAGAAACATTCACTTTTCAGTTGAGAACAGAACACCCACTGGTGTCACTTCTAATCAGGCACAAATACTTTGCTGACTGTTTTTTGTGATCTACATGTTAACCTTTTTAAATTGCAAATACTTTGTTGACTGTTCTCTGTGGTCTATGTTACTTTTTTTAATTGCTTGCTCTTCACAGGGAGTCAGAAATTTGGGGTGGGGTGTAGAATACCATTGAGATTAAAACAGAAGATAGTTCATAAACACATACCTTTGATTTTAAAATTTCATTCAGCCTTCATGGGAAGGGTTATTGGGAAAATAAATGTATTGAAAGGTATATGGGGGCCCTCCCTGGTGGCGCAGCGGGTTAAAACACTGCACTGAGAAGCTAAAGCCACTTCAGCATGAGTTCGATCCCCGCCTGCCCCGGAGGTGACCACAAGGCGTACCAGACCTCTCCTGACCCGCCCGCTGGTCCCCTCAGCAGTGTACTTCGTCGATCTGCCTGTTCTGCTCCCCGCTCTGTACCTTGTGAATCCTCTCACCCTCCGCACCTCTGCCTGTACCCCAGTTCTGTATGAATAAATAAATAAATCTTAAAAAAAAAAAAAAAGGTATGTGGGTGGACTGGTGGGGAAGAAAAGAAAAGAAACAGGTTGAAAAACTCACCTACCCATAGCAAAGGTCATAGTCTTGGAAGATATCTTTCCATGTCTCATAATCTGCATTTTGAAAGTCTGTAACATGTAATCTGTGTCAGGGTTTCTTGATAAAGAAAATACAGCATGTATGGAATGCGAGTTTGTGTTAGGAGGGACTACTATCAGATCTGTCCAAAGGGCATTGTCAGTTCAGAATGAAATACCTCAAAATGCTACTTGAGTTCCTTTAAGAGTGGATGTAAGAGTATCATGATGGTGGGAATATGGAGAAGTGAGAAAATGGTGGGATTTGGGTGGGTACTCAGGGACCCAAACCTGATATAAGGAGTTCAGTATTCCTGTTGGTTCAGAGTGGGTGGGAGGAACCCAGAGGAAATGATATTTTTCAAATGGTTATAGAGTAGAAGGCAGAAAGTAATGGGACTTGAAAATGTCACTGCTCTTTTTTTAAATGCATACAAGAACTGGGGTACAGGCCAGAGTGTCGCAGGGGGTGTTCCGGGGGGGGGGTGAGATGATTCACCAAAGATAGAGGGGGGAACATAACAGGCAGATGTACTGAAATACACTGCTGAGGGGAGCAGCAGGTGAGACAGGTCTGCCGGGGTCTATTGTGCCAAGTAGGTTAGCTCCCTGACCTGCTGGGAATTGATTTGAACTCGTGTTTCAGTGGCTGCCAGTAGCCTGATAGTGCTGTCTTTAATACCTGTGCCACCGGAGAGGCCCTCCTGTGTTATATTTTCAGATGAACTGCTTCAAGGTTTCTAAAAAAATAAGTATTAGAAAAGGAACTTTAAGGAGTGATTGCTTCAATGGGATTTGGAATGTTGTGGAATTAGATATGGTTGACTAATGTGCAGCATTAATATATAATTTTAAATGGTAAAGTAAGAAATTTTATGTGAATTTCATTTCAAAAGGAATAGGGGATAAGTCACTCATTATCCATTCACCAGAATGACTAATGTGAAAAGACAGAAAATATTATTGATGGCAATATGGAACAACTGTAACTCATGTTTACTAATGAGAATGTATATTTAACTATTTTAGAACATTCTTTGGCTTATCTTCTAAGAATGACAATACATATACACATAAGCACCTTCTGTGACCCAGCATTGCTGTCTTCACTAAAGGATAATAGTATATTTTACTGTTACTCTTGTTAGAGTCAGAAACTAAAATTAACTGAAATGTCCATCTATTGTAAAGTAGGTAAATATATTATAGTATATTTAATAAGTGAATTGCTATTCAGTAATAACAATGAGTAGTTTACAAGTATACTGAATAACATGGATGAATCTAACAAGTATAATTTTAAGTGAAAGAAATCAGTTATGTAAAGTTTGTAAATGGCAGAAGAATTTCTGTGATGATATATCTATATGTAGGCAATGGTCACTTTCTGCAGGTGAGTGACATCTAGCAGGATAGTTTCTTGATTGAGCTCTGTGAACAAAAGTGCTTGTTTTGTTAAATTTCAACAAGTTCCTTACATGATTTGTACATTTTGTACTATGTATATATTCTACCATAATACAACTTGCATTAAAATAATAGGTATTGTCCATTAGATGGTAGCAATGTAAATTTAAAAACTTTAAAAGTTGAAATGGGAACACAAATTAATATATCATTAGGATTATTAGGAAATTATAATAGCTATTCCTCTTTGTTTCCTTTCTCATACATACTCTTAAGTGGCATCTTATGATCTCTAAACATGTAAAGAGTAAAAATATTTTTTTAGGAGATGCACATTTAGCTGCTATTAAATTATAAAGCTCATCTATACATTATAGCTCATTTTCAGAAGAATTTAAATTATTAATGTGAGTAATTTCTGTGTTTATTTTATAGGCACATTTTCACAACAAATCAGTAAATGGCCCCAAGTCAGAATCCATGGAATACAGTAGATGTGGTCATGGGGAAGAACAGAGATTGGAATTGAACCCACACCCCCTTGAAAATGTAGCTGAAAATGAAGAAAGTAAGACAGGTAATGAGGCGGAGAAGTGGCCACAAAGCAAGAAATCACATTTACCCGAAGATGTCAAAGCAGAGTTTAGGACATCTGTGACAGAAACAGAAAGGTTTAAAAGCTCTAAAGATGAAAGCAAGAAAGTCCTACTTACTGACTTCCTTGAACCTGAAAAGTTATTTATACAACCTGTAAGAAATGGCATTAAAAATGTACATTGTTTACCAACTGAAACAAATGTGTCAATTAAAAAATCCAATTTTGAAGAATTTGACAAGACAATTGAAAATAATTCTTGTAAGTTCCTGAAAGACACTGCAAATCATAACAATGCCATGAGCTCCATTGCTAGTAGCGCGAGCTGTGATCATCTCAAGGGGAGAAATAATGTGTTAGTCTTCCAGAAGCCTGGCTTTAACTGTAAGTCTTTTTCAGACCCTGCAAACTTTAACATAAATAGTCATACCAGTACCCACAATGAAAATGATCAAACTCCAGAGACTGTACCAAGTAAAGACCCTAAAGATGGATCTCCAGTTCAACCAAGTCTTCTGTCCCTCATGAAAGATAGGAGGTTAACGCTGGAGCAAGTAGTGGCTATCGAAGCTCTGACGCAGCTTTCAGAAGCTACGTCTGAGAATTCCTCGCCCTCCAAGTCAGAGAAGGATGAAGAAACAGAGCAAAGAACAGCTAGTTTGCTTAACAGCTGCAAAGCTATCCTCTATTCTGTAAGAAAAGACCTCCAAGACCCAAATTTACAAGGGAAACCACAAAGCTTTCATCACTGTCCATCTCTTGTAAAGCAAAGTTCACGCAACATGGTGGTATTTAATGGCCAAAATACCATTTCTAAGTCCCACAATAACTCAACTACTAACCAAACCTCCACAAAGTCACAGGAATATTCAAAGACCACAAATTCTTTTTTAATGCCAAATTCATCTAAACTTGAGCACAACAAAAATGTTGCTCAAAGCAGATTTTCTCTTGACAGTTCTTCCAAGAATTCAACGCCTTTGCTACCAAGAATTAATAAATTGGAGCATTGCCAACAATCACTGGACAGCAGTAAAAAATTAGACTCCAAGAATGATCCATCATGTCAAGATACAGCTCATAGTAAAGTGGAGGAAGATGTTGCCACACAGTTAACACAACTTGCATCAACAATTACATTCAACTCCATAAAATCAGAGGATAAAAATGTTGAAAGAACATCAACAAGCCATGTTGCATACACTGTACAGCAAAAATATAGTCAGGAGAAGGGCACAGTACAACAGAAACCATCTTCAAGTGTACCAAATAATCACAGCTTGTTATTAACAAAGCAAAAGAACACAACTCAGAAAAAGACAAAATCTACCCCATCAAGAGATAGGCGGAAAAAGAAGCCCACAGTCCTCAGTTGTCAAGAAAATGACCAGAAAAAGCAGGAACAGTTGTCATATGAGTATAGAATGTTGTATGATATTTGGATGGGATCTAAATTTCAAAAATTTGGTCAGTTTGGTCCACATCATTTTCCTATCTTGTTAGGAAAAATTTCTCCAGCCAAAGAATGGGAACCAGTGACTCAAATGAGGTCAGTATCAGAGCCCAAAAAATTATTTCACCCAGTTGCTCAGATAGAATTCAAGCGAAGTTTTCCTGAAGTAGCACAGGAGAAAATGATAAAGGTTGAACCATTGAATATTCTCTCCACATCCCAGTTAAAAATAGAATCCAATGGGCAGGAGTTTACAGAAAAAATTTATAATTCTCAGGTACAGCCAATAATGAATGTCAGTCAGAAAACTCATCCTTTACCCCAGTTCTCCTCTCCAACTAACCAGTGTGCTAATGTGATGGCTGGCAATGACCAAACACAGTTCCAGCAGGATGGTAAAGACCAACCCATGCATCAGAGAATACCAGCATTACCTGGCATCTCTCACGAGACCCCATTACTGGATCCAGCACAAATACTCAGGAATGTAAATGTAGTGTGTTCAGGTGGAATTACAGTGGTTTCTACCAAAAGTGATGAGGAAGTCTGTTCATCTAGTGTTGGAGGATCAGAATTTTCCCCAGCAGACAGTGCACAGAAAATTTTCAATGATTATGCCATGAACTACTTTACTAAGCCAACAAAAAACCTGGTGTCCACAACAAAAGATTCTGAATTACCAACGTGCAACTGTCTTGGTAAGTGTGAGCATTTGTGGACTTGGTGTATGTGTGCATGTTTCTTTGTTTTACTACACAAATTACCTCACTGTGACCAAGTCAGGTTTGACTTTATCTTTTATGGATAGCATCAATTCCCATTTATATTCTAGCTAAAATAAACGAAGTAATTCTATGCCCATTTTTCTGAGGGACCTTTATTGATTCTGCTCACATGAATGGCAAATTCAACTCAAAATGGGGAAAAAACTCAGTGAGAAAATTTGCAGGTTTCTCTCAAGGCTAAGTGACTTCCAAGTTACTTATTATGTATTTCATAAGAATGAATTCCCTTACATACTTTATTATAATTTGTTCATATATTCAAAGAAAGCCTTTTGCTTAAAAATTGATTTTTATTGGAAGCTATACATGTATACAGAGAACATAAAGCATATACAACTTAATGAATGACTATAAAAAGTAGCTGTGTAAGTGACACCCATTCAGGAATTGAAACTGGCTTATTTCTTTACATTGTTTTTATGCTTTGCAATATACACAGGACGCTCAATATGTGAGAAAATTCCATAATCTTGGCTAGTTGAAGAAAGTCCACAATTTGGGAGATCTAAAATGTTGAATTGTTTAATATGGACTTCTTATTTAAAAAAACAAAAAACAGATATGTGTTAACAACTGAATCATGGACTAGCTTCTAACTAATCTATTTTTATGTATTTTGTGTGTTTAGACTCATTGAAAGAAAACATTCAGAAGCTAACAGAACTTTTAGCAGTGTGTTAAAATCCCTGAGAAAATCTTGCTAGACTAGGATTCTCAGGCAGACTCTATGAGAAATTCACTCAATATTTGAAACATGGAAGTTTAATTTGAATTCTGTTTTGATTTGTCTCTGTCTATAGTCATGTGCTATGTAAGTGCTCAAATATAAAACGGAATTTGTTTAGTATAATTATTTTTAAAATGGGGAGATTAAATAGATTGCATTATTAAAGTTTGTTAGCCTGTTTAAAGCCCCATTATTATTTCAACTTTTATTCAAATTATGGTAGGACAAGATTTGTATAACTTGTTTTTATTATAACCTATTTTCAATTTTATTATAACCTATTCAACAACATGAATAGGTTCATTTATAGCAGTCTTATTTAAGATATGGCCCCAAATTACAAAGGCTTCATGTTTTGCCTTGAACAGAAGCAATCTTTTTAAGGTATTTTATTAGTACATTCCTTGTTCAAGGATTGCTTAGAATACAGTATACTGTGTTTTTTTCTTTGTTGTTGTTGTTAAAAAGACCATAGTAGAGGACCTTAAAGTCTCAGCACTATCGAACTATTGTCAGCCACTATGGTACAAATTCAATCCCAGCCAGGTAGCTGACCCACACGGCCTGGCAGACCTCTCCTGTCTTGCCTGCTGCAACCCTCAGTACTGTATTTCAGTCAATCTGCCTTCCTACTGTCTCTGGTGAGTCCTCTCACCCCTACATCTCTGGCCTACACCCTTATATACATAAATAAATAAAAATAAATCTTGAAAAAGAAAAAGCCATAGTAGAAATACAGCAATTACTTTTAGTTCTTGATTACCCAAACCTACATTTGCTGTGCTGAAATAAATCTTTCCATTTTTCCACTCATCACTCAACACCTTTTGACAGCCTACCACATGCCAAGCACCAAGGATAGGTTCTGCTAAGAAAGATCTTACCATGAAAAGGATGACAGGGCTGCCTGAGTGGGATTGAATTGGAAGAATGAGAGCTTCTTGGACTAAGGAAAGAAGAGTCTAATAATAATCTGGCTCTTACTCCTTACCTTTTACTGCAAGCCTGATACTTGGTCATGCCTTTGACTTACTATATTCACAAAGCTTATTAATCTCATCTTACAAATAAGAAGACTGAGGCACAGCAAATTCAGAACTAGTAAATGACTGAATTGGGATTCAGAGACAGGCCAGTTTTAATGCCAGAGTCTATGTCTGTATCCTCCATCCTGTTTTGAAAATATGAATATAAAAGGGATAGTGCTTTTCTGATTATTATTACAGGTGGGAAAAAGAGGTTTAATTTTTAAATGCCATTAAAATGGGTATATACCTGAGTTAAATCTAGATTTACCATGAGCATAGCTTCAATAGGATGGTTGTCTAGTTTCAGGACACTTTCCTTTTATATCTGGAAATTAGGTAGGAGTGAGCCACTCATTCCAAGGTTATTGTGTATCTTTAGTGGACTTGTAACTGTTTACACATGTGTCTTCCCGTAGTCATTACATGTGGGGTTACTGTGCTCATTGTGTAGAAACGGGATCTCACAAAGGAGAAACACAAAAACAGACTCACCCAGAATCATTCCCAATGGGAACATAATATGTAAGGGTAAAAAAAATTCCCATGGATTTAGTCTAGCTAAATAGAAGTAATTAACTGCTGGAGCTGTGTTTCTCAAAGTTAGCACTATTGGCTATTTAGACGGGATAATTCTTTGTTTAGGCTACTGCTTTATAGGCTACTTAGTAGTACTGGCCTCTACCCACTAGCAGCCAGGAAAACACACCCCACTCATAGCTGTCCAGGTGTCAAAGCAAAAAGATTGCCAAATGTCCCCCCTCAGGGGAATAACAGGTGGTTGAAGAATCACTGCTCTAGATCAACAATAATGAGTTAAAATCTATTACTTAACTCTTGCTTAAGAAGCAATGGAACTAATCCTATATTATATTTGATATCCAATCAAAATGTTTAAATAGTGACCTTTGGTGTAGGTACATCATGGCCAGAAATGTATCCTCCAGTGATTCTATATATAGACTTGATTATAAGAATTGACATTAAAAATATGTATTTTGGGCCCTCCCTGATGGTGCAGCGGGTTAAAGCACAGCACTAAGAAGCTTAAGCCACTTCCGCATGAGTTCGATTCCCGCCTGCCCCGGAGGTGACCACATGGTGTGGCAGACCTCTCCTGACCCGCCCGCTGCTCCCCTCAGCAGTGTGCTTCGTTGATCTGCCTGTTCTGCTCCCCGCTCTGTCTGCGGTGAAGCCTCTCACCGCCCCTGAGCCTCTAGCCTGTACCCCGGTTCTGTATGTACAAATAAATAAATCTTTAAAAAAAAATGTATTTTCTGTAGTTACATCTCATGTCAAAGTGTTCTGAATGTATAAAAGCATAGCTTTAACAACAAGCAAACAAAATATTATTTTCTAAGAAATATATAATTCACACTCATAAAAATTCCAACAGTACGGGAATAGGGTGCAGATATCTTATGGTCCCATTCTCTGAAGATAAAACTTCTTACAATTTTTCTATATGAATTAACATTATAAGTGATTAAGATTTTTGTTTCCAAATTTACAAAATTTAGGTCTGCTTTTAAGTAGTAAGTGTGACCCACACCTCTTGTATCTTTTTTCTCCTCTGTCAGAGGAAGAATGAATTAGGAACAGAATGAAAGGATCAAGTTAAATTCCAGGACCTTTGTCCTATATTTTAATTATTAAAGCCACCAAAACACTGTCTAGATTCATTGTTATGAACTGTTAAAAAAAAAAAAAGTTAGTATAAATAGCTCCTCCTTGCCCCTATGCAATGCTGTGAAGCTTTGGGTCTAATAATGTTATTCCTTCCACAGATCGAGTTATACAAAAAGACAAAGGCCCATATTATACACACCTTGGGGCAGGACCAAGTGTTGCTGCTGTCAGGGAAATCATGGAGAATAGGTGAGGAAATATGCTTCCCTGTTAAAATCATTCATTACTGTGGACCTAATTCAATGCAGAGAAATTATCGGTGGGAACAATGTGAGGTGAACAGAAAACCTTCAGGAGTCCGAGTTGGCTGTTTTTTGGGACACAGGGATATTGTCTTGGTGTCTCTGCTGTCATTCATCATGTGAGCTTTGGGCACTCACAAGACACTCGCATAGCAAGACTGTTTTTGTTAAATTCAGAAATAACTATTTTATGTTATTGTGTAATGGTAGAAATAGTTAAAATGACTGCTGTCAACAGTGCATTCACATTCATGTTGCTTATCTTGGAGCCAGGTGCTTTTGAAAAGACTGATCTTTAAGGATAAGTATATGGAGCTGGATAACAAAAAAAATAGAGGTCACACAAAAGTAAATGTTTAGTAAAAGTAAACTACAGGAGTGTTTGATTTTTTTTTTTCATTTCTATGTATGTATGTCTAATGCACATTAAGATGTTAAAAGGTAAAGGTTTCAAGTTTATATTGCAATTATTTTTCCTTCACTGTGTTTTTTACTCAGGTATGGTCAGAAAGGAAATGCAATAAGGATAGAAATAGTAGTGTACACGGGAAAAGAAGGAAAAAGCTCTCACGGATGTCCGATAGCTAAATGGGTAAGTATTTAATATTTTTACATTTTTCAAAATGAATTTACATTGCAACATTTATAAAATAAATTATTTTTCTATGAAAATGTAGATGAGAAAAATACCCCATATCCATTATTCCTGGGCAGGTTAAGATCAGGGTGGTGGGTGTATATCTTTAGAATTTTTTTTAAAAGATTTATTTGTGCATACAGAGGTGGGGTACAGGCCAACGTGCAGGGTCGGTGAGAGGATTCACCAGAGAGAGAGTGGGGAGTAGAGCAGGCTGGCTTACAAGGTACACTGCTGAGGGGAGCTGCGGGCGGGTCAGGAGAGGTCTGCCACGCCGTGTGGTCACCTCCGGGGCAGGCGGGAATCGAACTCATGCGGAAGCGGCTTTAGCTTCTCAGTGCTATGCTTTAACCCAGAGCGCCACCAGGGAGGGCCCATCTTTATTATGTTTTAAAAAATGTAGTATTCATGTTAAATGACAAAAGGGCATATTGCCCTTCCCAATTATGACCTAGAGAACTTCTTTTTCTATTTATCTTTGTTTTGTGTGACTACCTCTTATATCATTTCTTGTGTACTTTAAGAGACTATTCATTAATTTATTAGATAACATAGCCAAGTGGTGCCAAACTACACATAAATATCTTTTATTTTTACCTCATTTGAAGTTCTCTCCAATTCAATATCCACCTTAATAAGGATCATGCAATACTGAAGGCAAAACTAAATTTGTTATAATATAGTCTCAAAATTGTTTCCATGACTACATTTAGTTTTCCAAAAGCACATGGCAGTAAGGATAAGAACTCTAGTGTCTATTCTTTAGGACATTCTTGCTGAAAAACAGGCTCATAGGAATTTTTTTTTTTCTTTTTCAACAGTACATTCACATCCATAGCATATTAACCAGTTTATTTGGAATTTTTGGCCATATAATCATTTATGTTCTTGTATAATCCTTTACTACTAATGATGATGATGATTTATATGATTAAAAAATAACTACTATCGGGGAGGGAGGGAAATGCATGGGACTAGGGTGGTGGCACAGGGGTGATTTGGTGATGGGAAACCGTGGGGATTACAATTGAGATGAAAAAAAAAATGTGAAAAATGATGTAAAAATAAACTTTTTAATAAAAAAAAATAAATAACTACTATCGGGGAGGGAGGGAAATGCATGGGACTAGGGTGGTGGCACAGGGGTGATCTGGTGATGGGAAACCTGCGGGGATTACAATCAAGATGGAAAAAAAATGTGCAAAATGATGTAAAAATAAACTTTATAATAAAAAAAATAATAACTACTATCTTTATTAGACGCTTTAATTAGGCACTTTGCCTCATCATTACTCACAACAGAATTCTTAGGAGTCCTTTGTTTATTTGTATATCCCTTTCAGAAAGTTAAAAACATTAAATGTAAAATGGAGATAGGTATTCTGAAAGCAGGCAATTGCTGCACCCTTACCTACACTATTACAGTGTATGTGTTGGTTATATTTTACCCTGGAAGGTGAGAGTAGTGATGAGTATAAGAATGAGACACTGAATACTAAACACTTTAGAACTATAACTTCCTCCCATCTATTTGGAGCACAAAGTCTTATCAAATTACAGATAAACTCAAAAGATCTGGATGTGCCTTGTTTAGTGATCTTACAGTAAAATGCGCAGATCTTTGGTTTATATGAGTACTTCTCCTATATAACACAACTGAGATAATGATATAGAACTTACTAGTACTCCATAAAATTCCCTGTGACCCCTCCTAGTCATTAACTCACAAAGATGCCAACTGTTTTGAGCTTTATCACAATGATGGACTTTTTTTTTAAGAACTTGGTGTTATTAGAATAATTTAGCAGATACTCTGTATGTCCTTTACTCAGCTTTTATAGAGCATGGATTTAATGGCTAGAGTTCAACAACCATTTGGAACTGTGGGTTGACTTGATAGTAGAAGACATGTATATGTGGGAATAAATGTAGGAACTCAAGTCCCTGATAAGATGGATACAGACGTCATACCAACTCCGTCTTCTTAAATCTGAATTTCTTTAATATGAGAATTATCTTTTCTTGCTTAAATCCTGTTATTGGAGGGGAGATGTTTGTTATATGTGGTATCAAGCCCCAAGTAAATAACAGATGTTACTTGTTAAACATGGGTAAATTTTGAAAGGAAAAAATTTCAAGATGAGAGAGAGAGGTGAGTGAACTCATGCTTATTGAGTACATCCTATAGTCACATGCTGGGCTGGGGACACAAACATGAATTAATGTCATATCATTTTATTGACATCAACAAATGGCCCTGAGTCATATCAGTCATCACAAATACATTTTTAGTCTAAGTAGGTTTGCTAGCTAAAGTTCACTTTATCATTTGCTTACACAAACATTATCTGGAGTTATTTGGTCTCTTAAGAACAAAATAAAATTTCCCCAAATTCTCTTTAGAAGTCTAAAACTTTCCCTAAAATTTTTATGTAATGGTTGGAGTAGGGCTGGGTCTGGTGGTTGTGAGGACTATCAGTTCTTTAATCAACTTCTTGTCCTGCTAAGCACTGATCCCCCACATCTTGTCCATTCAGTTATGAAAATGACATTTAGTAATTTCCAGTAAGCGCTCACTCAGAATTCAATTTTCATGAACGAGGTTTTGGTCTAGCTGTAACTAAACAGTTACCAGAGAAGTCTTTTTATTTTTCTACTTTATTCCTCTTTTTAAAAAATATTGGACCCTCCCTGGCTGATCAAGAGGTTAAGTCTCAGTACTATGAAGCAATCTGCGCCACTGCAGCACACATTAGATACACAGCCAGAGAGCCTATCCAAATGGTGCAGCAGACCTCTCCTGTCTCACCCACTGCTCCCGTCAGCAGTATATTTCAGTATATCTGCCTCTTCTGCTCCCTACTCTGTCTCTGGTGAATGCTCTCACCCCCTGCACCTTTGGCTTACCATTGATTCAAAACATTTTAAGGTAGAAAATAATATATTGACTGCCCATTTTTCTATTGAATTGTTAGTCATCTCTAGTTCGATAGAATTTCCTTTATAAAATTTATTATTGGTGATAAAATTTGCAAGTATGTTTTGTTTCTCATTGTTTTTACCATTCTGATTTTTAAATGAAATGAAATTCAAAAAACATAAAAGGTGAAAACAATTCTTCCTTTCTTTTATGACTTCAGTATATCATATTTTAATTACAAAAATCTTTACATCTTCTAAGTTATAAATAATTCTTCCATTTTCGTAGTATTTTAGTAATTTTTTTTTCAGTATTTAATCATTTTGTATATAGAGACTTAGGGACAACTTAAAAGTTTTCCGGATGCTTACCTATTTACTCAGCACCTTTCTCTTGTCTCTCCCCTACTTATGTTTGCTTTTATTAGTAGATTTTCTATTCTGTACCTCAGTTTCATGTCTCTCATATCAACATCAAACTACTGTCATCATGTAGATTTTACAGTATGTTTTAAAATCTTGTGTAGTTAATTCCTCTTTTCAATTTCTCAGAAATTTCCAGAATATAATTTCCCTTTTTTTTATATGCATTGATAGTCATCTTGTCTAAGTGCAAAAATAAAATCCTATTAGTATTTTTATTGGAATTATATTTACCTTTTTTTCATATTTAGTCTTCCTACCATATATATATGATGACTTTCTATCTGCTAGTACCCTCTTTTGTCTTTTAGGGATGTTTTTTAAGGTTTTTTTGCATATAGAGTTTGCATGTTTCTTGCCTTTTCAATCTGTAGTACTAAATTTATACTCTCCTTTTTAAATTTTATACTATTTCTTCTGAAACAATAAGTCTAAGAGACTAACTCCAATTTCCTATTGCTTTAGTGTTTATGGCCCCTTTATCTTAATTCCATGTAGGCAGTGGAAACTGCCTACATTCTTTTTATAATTGAGTCATCAGGAAGTCTTCTTTGGACAGAGAACATTTAAGCTGAGACTTTAATGACAGTGACAAAAAGTGTACCCCCAATATTCCTAAGCAAAGAAAGTGGCATCTATCACATGTCTTAGATCAAGGAAGAGGGAATGTTCTATAATTATCTAACAGGAGTTCAGTGAAGTTGAGGAGGTAGAAAATGGAACCCAGCAGCCAGGTAGGCAGAAGCCTCTTTGAATAGTTTTGGAGGCCATGGTGAGGAACTTGGGTGTTTAGTCCAAGGTTAACATAAAGGTTTTTGAAACATTTTGAGTAGGGATGTGTTAATTGGTTCATTTTATAAAAGCATTCTAATAAATTAATTGGTAAAAATCACATATATTATCTAGCTTTTTTAGGGCTTGAACAATGGAAATTTGACTTCTCACAATTGTACTGTTACAAAGTCCCAGGTTAAGTCGCTGTCAGGTTGGTTTTCTGTGAGCCTCTCCTTGAGTGACAGACTCTTTTATCTTCACATGACCTTGTCTGAGCCTGCACATACTGATGTATACTAGTAAGGATACTTTCTGTTCGTATTGGATTAGGGCTACCCTTAAGACAACATTTTTTTTTTTTTTAAGATTTATTTATGCATACAGAACTGAGGTACCAGCCAGAAGCCCAGGGGCAGGAGAGGATTTACCAGAGACAGAGTGGGGAGCAGAACAGGCAGATCAATGAAATACACTGCTGAGGGGAGCAACAAGCGAGACAGGAGAGATCTGCCTCGCCATGTGGATCACGTCCCTGGCCTGGGATCAAACTCGTGCGGAAGTGGCTGCGGCTAGCTTTGTAGTGGGGCACTTTAACCCACTGTGCCACCAGTGAGGGCCCAAGATGGCATTTAAACTTAATTACCTACTTCAAGTTTTTTTTCCAAATACAATCACATTGAATGTAGAGCTACAACATGAATTTGGCGGGGGAATCTAATTCCATCCATAAAATACTCCAATGCCGAAGGAATTAGGACAGAATATACATATAAGTCCATATAGGATGTGTGTTACAAATTACTGCCTGTCAATATTGACTGAGTTTTGGTTGTTGTCTG